GTCAAGGGGGAAACAGCTGATTTTAAGTGATTAGCAGTGATTATTATTCATTAGAGTTGATTAGGAAAATGAATAAAAGCCAGAGGGAGAAACAGCCGATTAGGAATTCGCTAACTGTCCTAATCACCTTTAATCAATAATAGTCACTGCTAATCACTTAAAATCATATCTAATCAATAGTCAGCTTTTTCCCGCTTAAACGCAGCGCACTAGATGATACATCGTGTGTAATCTCCAACTAACAAAAATATAATTTTATAGTAACTCTCTTATTAAAATAAATGAGTCCTAACGTGTCAAATGCATCAAAGAAAAGTTAAATAAACCTCTGTTTCATGTTCGATTTGTTTTTGTGTCATTGACGATTTATTTAATCTTTCAATTGTTTTTTTTAAACGACTTATCTAAACAAAAATCTTTTTGTTAAATAATAGTAAAATAAAAAGTAATGATTAACTTCATTTGTTTGATCAACTTTGAATGTTTTTAACTGTTCAATATGAAGCTTAAGTTCTTCTAATTGCTTTAATGTTGGTAAATTTTGATCTGTTTGATATGTTTCATTAATAATTCTTGTCGAACGAAGATATTCAAAAGTTTTATTAACAATTTGACAATATTTATCTTCATTATTTCGATATTTTCTTCGATACTAAAATCAAAAAACTAATTAATCAAATAAACAAAAAAAAATGTCATTATACATTAGCAAGTTCTTCTCTAATATTTTTTAATTGTTTTTCAAATTCAATCGTTAATTTTTGTGTATCCGAACATTTTGTTTCAAGTTCTGATTGAAGTTTTCCAAGTGTTGTTCGAAGAAGTTTTTCATTTGAACATTGTCTTTGATATTCATCAATTTTTCTTTCTTGATTTTTACATTGATTTTTTAAACTTTCATAATTTGCTTCAATATCAGATAAACGATTCTATACAAAAAAAATTCAACTAATTATTTGTAAGAAAAAACAACTCCTACAGTTAATAATTGAACATTAAGTTTAGCTTCACTCGATATATCACGTTCTTGTTCAAGTGCTTGTTCACTATATTGAAGTTTTATTTGAATAACCTAAATTTATTTATTTTAAAAAATTAAAAATATTTTCGAAATTAAATACTTCATATTCTTTTTTTAATTCTGTTTCTCGTTCTTTCGCTAAAATTGATTGAGCTAAATTTTTTCTTGA